AACAAAGTTTCACCTGGCACGAGCGGTTGGGCCATCCAAATTCAAGACTGCTATCAACCTTAGCAAAATTTCTTCCCAATTTCCGGAATTCACTCAATAACTGTGATATTTGCATTTCTTGTCAAGTTTCTAAAAGTCATAGATTACCTTTCTTTAGTAGCAATTCCTATTGTACTAAACCGTTTCAAATAATACATTCGGATGTTTGGGGACCTTCACCTATCCCCTCATTCAATGGTTATCGATACTACGTAATTTTCATAGACGAATTTACACGTTATTCGTGGCTATACTTGATGACTACTAAAGCAGAAACTTTTACTAAATTTCAGCATTTTTACAATCTTATTTTAAATAATTTTCATAGCAGTATACAAACGCTACGTTCCGACAATGGTGGCGAGTTCTTAAGCAACCAATTCACTGAGTTTCTTCTCAATAAAGGAATAAACCGGCAGTTAAGTTGCCCACATACCCCGGAGCAAAATGGTATGTCTGAAAGGAAGCATAGGCACTTACTTGAAATTACCAGAACTCTTATGCATGCCGCAGGTTTACCTACAAATTTTTGGGCTGAATCCTTGTCCACAGCACATTATCTTATTAACAGGTTACCTTCCGCTGCCACTATTCCTCACAGCCCTTACTACAGTCTCTATGGGAAACATCCCTCGTACACGCATCTCCGCACGTTTGGCTGTTTGTGCTTTCCTTGGCTCAAGCCTTACGCTCCTCATAAGCTCGCTCCTCGTTCTCAAGAATGCGTGTTTATAGGTTACTCCACACAGCATAAAGGTTATCGATGCTTTAACATTAAAACCAATCGTGTCCACATTTCTCGCCACGTAATTTTTCATGAAACCATTTTTCCTTTAAAAAATCCGTTAGCTAAACCTCCCTCTCCTACACCCGAATTTCCTTCTTCACCTCTTCTGCTAATCCCTGTCTCAGCTACGAATTCTCCACCTACTCACATTCCTGCCAGCTCTATGATCACCAATCAGCATATTGATCCCGAGCCTATGCCTCAACCACCTGCTACCACATCCCCGCTCGCACCCTCCACCAATTCCAGTGGCCAACAGCTGCAGCAACGGCAACATCATATGCAAACGAGATTTAAGTCCGGAATCACCAAACCCAGAAAAGTTTTCGATCTCTCAGCAGTATGTCAAACGGAATCTACACCAACCTCGTTTCATCAAGCCAATAAAAGTGAAAATTGGAAAGCAGCTATGGCTAAGGAATACGACGCTCTTCAGAAACAAAATACCTGGTCTTTAGTCTCACCCCCGCCTAATACGCCTATTCTCGGATGTCGATGGACGTACCGCATCAAGAAAAATTCTAATGGCCAAATCTGTCAGTATAAAGCACGCCTAGTGGCACAAGGATGTACTCAAGAATATGGCATCAATTACACTGATACATTCAGTCCGGTGGTTAAAATGACAACTATTCGGGTGCTGCTCACACTCGCTCTCCACAAAAATTGGCCAATTCTTCAACTCGATGTATCCAACGCTTTTCTACACGGAGATCTTCTAGACGACATTTACATGCGGCAACCACCCGGATTTACCGACTCCAACAATCCTAAGCATGTGTGTAAACTTCAAAAATCCATATATGGTCTCAAGCAATCTCCACGACTTTGGTTTACCAAAATTACTACGTTCTTACAAAACTTCGGTTTTTCTTTTAGTAAAGCCGACCCCTCTATGCTCATTTATTCTAAAAACAAAATTACCTTATTTGTGCTGATTTACGTTGACGATATCTTGGTGACAGGCAATAACAAACCGGTCATTGACCAACTTTTAAAACATCTCAACACTAGCTTTAGTCTAAAGCAACTTGGAGACATTTCTTTGTTTTTAGGAATACAGGTTTCTCGCACATCCAGGGGTTACTTCCTCAACCAACAACAGTACGCTCAACAATTGCTTCTCTCGGCTGGATTCGCTACATGCAAACCTGCTTCCACGCCTATGTCTCTGAAGAGGTCCTCCGCAGCTGTGCAAACCACTCCATTCCCAGATCCACATTTATACCAGAAACTTGCAGGTTCACTTCAATACTTGTCTATAACCAGACCAGATATTGCGTTCACTATTAACTATATTTGTCAACGCATGCATCAACCGACAACCAACGACTTCCAAGTACTCAAAAGATTACTTCGGTACATTCAAGGCACAACTCATCTAGGAATTCCAATAGAACCCGGCGATCTTACACTCCGGACATTTGCGGATGCAGACTGGGCGGCTGATAGTTCAGATCGGCGATCAATTTCAGGATATTGCACTTTTTTAGGCTCCACCATCATATCATGGTCTGCGAAAAAACAGGCAACTGTAGCTAAATCTTCAACCGAGGCGGAATATCGCTCCGTCTCCGCCGCCACTTCAGAAGTTCTATGGCTCAGACGGCTTTTAGCCGAACTTTCCATTCCTCAGATTTCTCCGACAACCATTTTTTGTGATAACACCTCTGCTATCGCTTTGGCTCACAACCCCGTTTTTCACGCCAGAACAAAGCATATAGAGATCGATTATCATTTCATCAGCAATCACATTAAGGCAGGCGAACTTAACATTTCTCACGTCAGTTCGATCGACCAAGTCGCCGATATTTTAACCAAACCTCTGCCTGAAGATCGGTTCAATTTACTTCGCAGCAAACTAACCATCTGCTCTAAAGATGCTTAGTTTGAGGGGGCATGATAATGTACCTGCCACGTCAGCCTTTTTTGAGTCTTTATTTCTTGTTATTGTATTTACGTTAAGTCCTTCTCTATATATACCGTGTAACAGGAGTCCTGTACTATGCTTTTTACTTTAATTCCATTTACAGCTTTCTTCTGGTTTCTTGGTTCCTTCATCAGTCGATAGCGAAGGTTGCGTCAAAGAAGAAGTTGCGCTGTCAGAAAAATGAAGAAATTGTGAGAGTGATTAATAAAAAATAATTGTGCTTCTCCATTGCTCAACGTATGTGAAATACACTATATTTAAGCTAAGGTTGAATCATTTTTTTTTAGCTTTGCAAATATTGTGGACTGTGTCACTTCCAATATAATTTTAACATAGCATCCATTTATAATCATTTCTTATCATAAAGGTTGAATCATTTCTTCTCTAAGACATTTGGAAGCATTATCCAATTTGTAAATTCTATTTAGATTTCATTATATTCATTTTTTTTTTGCAGGGCAAGCATGATTTTGAGATAAAACCATTTCAAAAGGTTCCCAAAAATTATAATCTTTCACATTTATCTATAATTTATTTCACATATAAAACTTGTATCATCTAAAACTCCATTTTTAATAAAATGCTTTGATAAATTGCGCATGACTGTTAATTATTTTTTTTTTTAACCAGAAAGATTTTCTTATGTTGAATATATATATATATATATATATATAACATATACGTCAATAAGTTAATTCTTATTCTGTTAGTTTTCTTTGCTTCTTAGAATCATATGCAATGTGTTCATTATGTATTAGCAGAAGTCTATCTATCAGTTCTTACATCAATAATTTGTTTTCCCTTTTATTCAACTGCAAGTTATTATATTCTCTTTAATGCTTCTTCTAATTTTCATCCATATGTATAAGCTGTTATAACTATAAGGTGTTGTAATCTAAAAATGAGAGGCCTATACACTAGGATTAAAATAACATATTCAAACAGATTCGCATATCTCTCATAAATATTAAGATATGTTTGCTCTGTAATTTGTATGATAAAATATTATGTTTCCATTTTTTACATATTTTATTTTCATATTTATTTTAAAATTTAATGTTTATTAGCTTTGTACTTATGCTGAGGATATTCTAATACAAATTTAATAGAGATAAGTTTTATAGTCATTATATTTTCTTTGAAATGAATATAATATAAATTTTGATTAATTAATTATATATTAATCTCAAAG